GCCTGCACCAGAGCAGCACGCAAGGCGAATCTGGAAGACCCGTTCCATATCGCCAGGGTCAGCAAGGGTTGGTCGATCGAAAGATGGAAGTTGGCTGTAGATGCCCTGCAAGATCGTGAGATTCAACGAATGCAGTGTGTGATCGATCGTGAGTCAGAGTGATTCTCATCAGCAGTTTCTCCAATGCCAGGCGCAGTTCTTACCCACTGCTTCAAAATACATGCAAACTACATGACAATCCGCTAGATGATGCCCGGCGCGTAGACCTGCTCGATGTAGACTGAACAGAAAGAGAGAACGATCGGAATAGGACGGGATTAGGGAGTGCATTATGGACCCAGAACCGCAGCAGCAAACACCCGGCCCAACGACAGGATCGCCGGATCCGAGCCCTCCACACAGCCCAACGGTAAGCCCACCGGGCACCCCATCCCCAACGAATTCACCGCCCGGATCTCCATCTCCCACCTCAACACCGCCCGGATCTCCATCTCCAACACCGCCGGTCACCTCCTCTCCAATCGGAAGCTCATCAGCGGAGCCACCGTCAGACCGGATTCGCATTCGATATGTGGCGAGCGCATCCGATACAGATGCACAGAGCGAAGAGATCCGCGCGTTGGTGCATGACCCTGATCCAGGCGAAGATCCCGACTACTACTTGCCGGGGTACATGCTCCGATTATCAGTGCCACCGATTAAGGATTTAAGTACTTGACGACCTGACGATTGATCGATCCCATTTGATACAACTGTTTCAAGCAAGCCGATCAACGCTGACAATCAATCACTCAAGACTTCATATAACAGTCATGTCGACATGCTTGCACGAGCTCTGATCCAGGCACACTACCTCGACAAGGGGCGGCTGACGCAGTGGGAAAGAGGAAGATACCTTAAGAATGAAGAGGTGGCTGGCTCGCCGGTCTACTACATCAACGACAGCTCGCAAACATGGTCAAGGCTGGCAGATGAGACTAAAAACTTTGGAATCTTCGCCGCGAGCGCAGTGCGTTCTGACACATATAACCTTCTGCCTCTCGACCTTAAGAGGCTATGGGAAGAAGTCGAGAACAGCCTCCAATCTCCTTACAACACGCAAGTCGATGTAAATCATCCTCAATTCAATACGTGGGTGAACGACGCGATCACGGAGTGGAGTTACAATCACCCACAGGCGATCGGCGGACTGACAGACGGTTCTGGAAACCCCGTGTCCGCAGCGCAGGTGATCTCTGCGCATATCATGAAAGAATCGTCCGGGACACACTGTTTCAACTTGTCGACGGCCCCGGCTCTTAGTACCACGAGTGTCAAGATTGGGGAGCCCTCAGCGGCTGATGGGCACCACTTCACCGACGGCGGATTAGGATTTCTTCAAATTCAGCCGTATAACGCAGTTAATGCTCAGAAAAATCTATATCTTCCAAGCGACAATATTAACCTAAGCACAAAGCTGATGACAGGACTGGTAACACAGCCAACCAATCCGGCATCCGGTTCTGGCGATGTGCGTGCGAGACTATGGTGGGCACTGGCAAGATACAATGGTGGTAATGCAGTTTGGGGCGGCGCAATACACGATCCAGACGACTGGCGTTATCAAGACGGCAAAGGCCCCGGCGATTATGCTGACGCGATCTTTGATGACTTGGGGATTCCGAAACCATGATCATGAAAAGTCTGAGTCTGGTTCTGGTGTGCTCGGTGATCAGCGAGGGCCCGGGTCCTAGATTTATGGACGACCGCATCGGAGTTGTTGAGCTTGAGATCTATGGACCTGATGCAGGGATTATTGCGGGCTCAATTACGTCCCGTGGAGATCGCGTTGGGATGCTGGTCCGTGACGGCGACGAAATACAGCTGTGTATTCTAGAGTGCGGCGTTCTAAGCCCCATATCGCACGAGTCGTGTGTGGTGTCAGACGCGCTCTCCTCTGGCGTCACAAGTGTCCACTGGACGCTCAATTCAAGGCACGCCCTGTTGGAAGTGAGGCGGCCGGTGCAGGGCAGCGGTGACCGAGTACCAGGAGAACAGTGTTCGGAGTGGTACTCGATACAGGTGCCGATTGAATCAGATAGGGTTGCGCCAAAGCTGCTTCACAGCTGCGAAGACGGCGATGCGGGCAAGCCCTACTACACAATGGCCGGAGAGATCCGGTTCAGTGCAAACCTGCCCTCAGAGGATGATGGCGAGATACGCATATATCCGGACAGACGGTTTATACCAAGAGAACCGGAAGTACGATCTGCCCGCCTTGTCGACTGGAACGGGAGCAGAATCGGAGCCCTGCTCGTTGACGAGACGACCTCTGAAGTGGCGTGTCTGCGAGAATCGGAAGTCGTTTCTTCTGTCAAGCTCGATGGAGTAGTCCTGGAATTTCCGGTTATGATCTATCGAAATGGCGATTCGTGGGTGGCTGGGCGTTGGTACCCGGATGGTCGGGGGGACGACTACATCGATGAAATACCTGGCTCATTTGCAACAGCCGTGATCGCCAAGGAAGCAGCGGATATTCGTGTGGTGGGGCGGATCGGCTCCGCCCGCCTTCTCGTCTGGATCAAAGAGCAGGACGCGAGCAGGCTACTGCTTGTCGGTCACCAGCAGCAATAATTGACTTTATGCGATTTTTACTTGCGCACTGGGAACGCGGGAAGAGCGAGTTCTTTCAGTCCGTTGCGTCCGCGCTTCAGGTCATGGGGCATGGATGTGATTGGCTGCCTCGGAACAATATGGAGCGCCGGCAGGAGTTGTTAGACGCGATATCGAGCAAGAGATATCACTGTTTGGTGACCTGGCAGCGGTTCTACTCGATGCAAACCGACATCCTCGATGCGATAGCTGAGTCTGGGATTCAGACAGTCTTCATGGACTATGGGTTCTATCCACATTACCGATCGGCCGTGTTTGACCCGATAGGCGAGAGTGCATCATCGCGGATCGCATTGTCCTGGATAGACGATGGAGAGAATGAGAGCACAATTCACGATTCGAACGTGTCGCCTCCTGTGATTCACAGCGAGATTGGGCGCCCTCTGCGATTTCATGAAATAGAAGGGCGGATTGAGTATCCGTTTGTATTCCTTCCGTTGCAACGGCCAATGGATTCGGTCGTTCGATACGACTCTAGTGTTCACGACTTTACAGCTCTAGTGCGGAGGGTCATAGATCTGTGTGGTGGCCGTATGTTTGTCGTGATCAAACCACACCCACTTGATGTCGGAATTGATATTGGGATTGACGACTATGTGCGAGGAAGCCATCTCGTAGTGAGGACGACGTTCGGTTCACGCAACGAGCCACTAAATGAACGGCTGATCCGGGAGTCGTGTCTCACTCTTGGGGTCAATAGCAACATGCTCTTTCGGGCCATGATGATGGATAAACCTGTAATTGCACTGGGGAGAGGCTGGCATACCGGGAGCGGTGCATATCAGGAGGTTGACGGGCTGGTGGGGCTTGATCGAATCGAAGTACCAACGATCAACTATGAGGCTCGTCGTCGATTTTGGAACCGTTGTATGTCATCTCAGGTCGAAATGTCGAAGCTTCATCGTCCAGAGATAGTCATCAGAATGCTAAATATGTGTGGTGTTCAGCTGAGACCTGAGTAGCCGACTCGGATTGACCTTGCAACCCCTCTCAAGCTACTTGTGTTCACAGCCGGCGATATACTCCGAAGCCCTTTGGCCAGCTCCGGCGGCAGTAACAATGATCTTCTTATCGTTCACGAGTTTCTTCCGCCACCCGTCGATGTAGGCCGCTGACTGTTCGACGGTCTGTGCACCGATGCCGGCAGTAGCAGCCAGGAACGCAGCGCCGAATTCCGCTATCAATTCCTCGCGTGAGTAGTCCGGGCTCCCGAATGGCCGCAGCTCTTTGTCGAGCCCGCGATCGAGGCGTGAACTGTGCCCGGTAGAGTGGACCAGCTCGTGGAATAACACGCCGTAATAACACTCTCGCGTCTCGAACCTCTCGGGCTCTGCGATCTGCACGGTGTCGGTCAGCGGCTTGTAGCACGCGCGTGAGCCCCGGTGCTCGATGGCCGGCCCATTCGCGTAGCCGGCGACGATCGCGGCGCAGGCTTCAATCGGCTCGAACGGCGATGCATTCGCCTCGTCCTGGGCGGGGGGGGAGGGGAGTTCGATCCCCTCGCACTGCTCGGCGTTGAAGACGGTGTAGTGGCGAAGGACCGGGATCTTGATGGGCTCGTCGGTCTTCTTGTCGCGTGTGGCGAATTGCTTCCAGAAAATCACGAGCGATCCCTTCTCGCCCTTGCGGACGTGACCGCCCTTGGCGGCGGCCTGCCGGTAGGTCATCCAGTAGGGCGAGCGGAATCCCTCGGCCCAGGCTGTCATAGCGAGCAGGAAGACGTTGATGCCCCGGTACTCGCGGCCCGACTCGAGGTTCGTGGGCAGGAGGCCCTCGTCTCCGGTGCTGCGGATCGGCTGACGCCAGGGCACGACCCCCTGGTCGAGGATCGAGAGGATGCGGTCGGTGACCGCCTGGTAGATGTCGATGGGCATGCGCTTCCCGTTGGTTGTTTATGTCAACGGGCTTGGTGCCACGGATCTCGGTGTTCTGTCAAACAGATTCGTTGCTGCGGTGCAGCACGTCAGAGAGATCGGGATTGTTTCTAGAGCGCTGACTATGAGAGGAGATCGGCGTTCGATCGCCCGTTCCGCCGGCCAAGAAGCGACCTACAATTGGGCCTTCAGCGGCTCGATGGAGCCCGTCTTACTGGATGCCCGTTCCGATCGCGGGCGCTACTCACCGGGCGTGCCCCACGGGCCGCCACCATCTACAGGAGACCTCAAATGGTCGACACGGCTATCTCTGTGTTCAGTTCGGTCTGGCGGCTGGTTCGGTTCGCGTGGGAACGCCTGGGATCCGCTCCGTCTCCGGCCCTGTTGGAGCGTCGGCGAGAGTTCACCATGCTCGGCGGATTGCTCTCGTTCAAAGAGTCGTGCCGCTACCACCGTCCTGAGTGATCTCGCGGATTACGGCTCGATCGATGGCTTGCCGCTGATCTCTGGCTTCGTCTCGGCCTTGCGGAAGAAGAAGCCGAGCGCGTAGGCGGCGAAGGCCTCCATGTGCGCGGTGGATTCTTCCTCGGTGTGCTCGGCGCTCTCGATGTAGTCGTAGACGGGGAGCGTCGGGTCACGGTGGCCGGCGAAGAACACGATCCGGATGATCTCGCGGGCGTGGCGGAGCCCGGCGCGGTTGACGACGCGTTCGCCCGCGAATTGCGTGACGGTGTCGAGGAGGATCTGTGCCTTCTTCTGTTCTGGTTCCTGTGTGGCCATGATGTTCATTCCTTGAGGCTACCGCATCCTGCGGTGATGGCGCAAGCCTCGAATATCGAGCACACGTCTTGTGTGGTCATCGACTGTTTGGCGTGCGGTTCTAGAGGCGGCCCTTGGCCGGCCTCTCCGACGTGGCAACGGTCTGTGCGGGCTGTGTGTTCTGGCCGGCGTGCGGTCCAGGTTTTCGATTAGCCGCGACGTCGGTCTCGCCATGTTCGGAGCTTCCGCCCGATGGACTGGCGGAGCAGTTGCACCTTGCGCACGCTCAGCCGTGCGTCCTTGTCGAACCCGGGTTCATCCTTGTTCGGATGCTCGGCCAAGCTGATGTTCTCCGCGAGGTACTCGTCGAGCTCGCGTGCGCTCTGCTCGTCCCAGAGCAGGTAGTCGACTGTGGTCACGATGGACACGATCCGGCGCACCTCGCTGAGGAACCAGCGTTCCTCGGCGTCCAGCTCTTCAACTTGTTCCTCGATGAGGTCGATGAGCGAGCGGAACTCTTCGGCCGAATCGACCGCGTGCTGCCTGATCGTGTTGCTGCCGTCGGCGACGCGGTCCCGCTCACGCGGGTTGTTGTTGTACCGTGCGGCCTTGCGCTGGGCACGGATCGTCACGATCGGGTGCCACTCTTCGACCAGCGCCGTCGATTGCTTGTCCTTGACGCTCTCGACGGTGACCTGGCCCGCGACTACCTCCTGGGCGTTCGGGTCGCGGTTCGAGCTTGTGGCTCGGCCGGCCGCTTTCCAGATCGTCTCGATGATGGTTGGGTCTCGTGTCACGGCTTCCTCAAACGTGTATTCCTGTTCGCTCTCGCGAAGGTCTGGTGTGGGCATCGGACGGTCCCTTCTCGCAGTGTGGGTCTGCGGTTGGAAAGCTCCGGTCGCCCTTTCGGACGCTCGGAGCTGTGGAGAGTGGCTTTTTGGGTCCTCCTGATCTCGTGTGTGCCCGTGTGGTGGTTCCTGCTCGGTCTTGTCCTTCGCTGCTCAGCTCGCCCGGCGATCCTCGCTCCGGTCGCGACGGTTCGCGTCGCTGTCGTTGCGGTCGTCGCGTCCCTCGTCCCGGCGGGGGGTCTCGGTGACGGTCTCGCGTTCCAGCGTCCGGCGCTCACGCTCGGTGACCTTGATCACCTCGCTGATCTCGTTTTCGCTGTCCCTGCGGGCGCTCTCTGCGGTCAGTGCTGCGTTGTTGCGGTTCTCGTTCTCGCGTGCCATCGTGTGGTCTCCTTTGCTGTTCGGGGCTTTCCGTTCCCCTTCACCCATGTAGTGGGCGCTCGTGAGCTCCTTGCGCAGCTCAACCAAAGAAATTTGCAACTTCCTCTCGGATTGCCCCGTCTGCCGTCTCATACATCGCGTCGTGGACGGCGGCGACGAGCATGGCTGGCTTGGTTTCGGACCGCATGGCCGCGAGTGTGGCCCTGCGGTACCCGAACTCCGTCAGGACGAGCCTGGGCTCCCAGTTGATCGAGCAGACGCGTCCGAGCCTGCTTCTCCGCCCGGACGGCATCCGCTGGATCCAGTGCCGCTCGAAGACGCCCAGGCTCACGGTGAGGTGCGTGCGCTGGTCGCGCGGGTAGACGAGCGATCGCGGCAACTTGTGTACCGTGAGCGAGTCGCCGGCGATCCGCAGGCTGATCTTGTTGCTCGCGATCGGCCACAGCGCCAGGAAGAAACCCCAGACGAGCACCGATGCGATCACGTTGGCGAACGAGCCGAGGATCATCGACAGGACGATGATGTGGATGCTGGCCTGGGCGTAGGGGTCGTAGCCGATCTGGGATCCCAGATCGCCCGGGAGCGCCGCAAAGAGCGTGTTGATCTGATGCCGGAGCTCGGCGAGCTCGGAGAACACCCGCCAGAACGGGCTCTCGCTCGGGAAGTGGGGGAGTGTGCTTGCTGCAAGACCGAGGAAGGCCGAAGCGAAGATCGCCAGGGCGGCCAGGCGTGAGAGCACGCGGGCGACCACCGTGGCGATGTAGAACCGGCCCGCGCCGACGTATCGGCCTTTGAGCGAGATCGAGCCGTCGGCCTCTTCTCGCTTCCTGGGCCAGCTCGGCGCGGTCTGTGTTTGCATCTTATGTCGGCTCACGGCTGACCCTTCCGTGCAGCTGGGGGTGCTCGTACGAGAGGATCCGCTCGGTGATCATGGGGTCGTGCCCGGCGACGAAGACGAGCTGGCGTCTCTGCTTGTCGGCCCTGCCGAAGATCCTGGCGATCTCGGGGACGCTCAGCAGCGGGTGGGTGGTGACGCTGAAGCCGCTGCCGGTCGCGCCGTCCTGGACGGTGGATCGGAAGCTGGTGTTCGACTTGGACTGGGTGTAGACGAGCGTGTTGCCGAGCCGCTTCTCGATATGCGAGAGTGTGGTCAGGTCGGTGTTGCCGAAGAAGACGGTGACGCCGCTGTTGGCGATGAACGTCTCCCATCGGTCGCTCCAGATCGAGCGTGCCTGGGCCAGATCCTGGAGCACGGTCGTGAAGGTGACCCCGACGCCAGGCAGACGCGACGCGCCGTCTTCTACCGACTTCATGTGGCCCACGGAAGCAGCCTCGTCGATGACGACGCGCAGCGGGTGCCCGCCCTTGCCCGTCTGGAAACCGTGCCGGTGCTCGCCGAGCTCGGCCGCGTCGATCGTGGCGTTGATCAGCAGGCGGAGCAGGGGGGAGAGCAGGCCGAGCCTCGAGGCCGGCAGGGCGACGACGACCGTCGTCGGTTTGGACAGCATCTTCGAGGGCGTGATGCCGTCCGTAGACAGCAGCTCGCGGATGCGTCGGTACTTGAGCCAGTCGCAGTGCCGGCGGAGCGTGGACAGGACCGAGCTGCGCTCGCGCTCGTGCCGGTCGTAGTGCGCGTGCGCGGATGCGGCGATGAAGCCGTCGGCGGCTTCGCTCTCGATCATCTCTCTTTCGAGCGTGCTGGGTTCGTCCTCGTCGCCGTCCTCGGCGGCGTTCATGACGAGGTCGTAGACGGTGCCCAGGTTCCGCTTGCCCTCGTAGATCGGCGAGCTCATGACATGGGCCGCGACGCCCTCCAGGAACATGAGTGAAGCCAGGTCCCAGTGGGCCTCGCCGCGCGGAGACTGCTTGACGATCGAGTCGGCGATCACGCCGGCGATGTCGATCACGCGGTCCGTGTCCTCTGGATCGACGCCGGCCATGATGTTGAAGCCGGTGCGGTAGGGGTGAGCGATCTTCTGGCTGATCCGCATCGGATCGACGAGGTGGCAGTCGTGGCCCATGACGCGCTCGCGGAATTCGAGGTACGAAGCGAGCGTGGCCTTGGGGTCGCACACGAGCAGGGACGAACGGTCGGTCTGCATCATGGGTTCGAGGTGGGAGACACCCTTGCCCGCGCGCGAGCCGGCGACGATGACGGTGTTGGTGGGGTTCGGGACGGCGATGAGGCGATCGTTGCCGTTCACGCCGCCGACGAGCATCAGACCGGGCCTGAGCTGATCGATCCCGCAGGCGAAGGCCTCGGCGATCGCTTGGGCGGCAGGGAAAACGCTCTGCGTGACGGTGCCGGTCCGGCCCGTGCCGCGAGGCACGCCGGCCAGGAGATCGTCGGACTGATCGGCGTTCTGATCCGGGCGTGATCGCTTCATCTCGACGAACTCCAGGAACTGACGGTCTGCCGGGGCCATCTCCACGTCGCGGAGCTGCTGCTTGAGGTCGCTCTTGCGGATCTCGACTTCGAGCAGCTTCCAGCCGCCGCAGAGGAACAGCGCGAACGCCGAGAAGCCGATCAGCAGGTCGAGGAGGGTCGGTCTGGATTCTGGGCGTTTGGACATCAGCGGCCTCCCTCGCTGCGCGACGCGCCCAGGTACTGCCGCTCGATGCGGTCGAGCTTGCTGTGGTCCTTGGCCGCGAACCAGAGGCTGCTCACGCCGATCGCCGCCATGACGAGGCAGCGGATGACGTGCGCGACATCGAAGAGCTTCCTTCGCCGGCGGACGACGAACGCCGACCGGTGCGCACGGTGGATGACGACGGCTCTTTGGACCCTCGCAACGACGACCCTTGGCATATTCAAGCTCCCGCGACTTGCGCCCCGATTCGGTAACTGATAATGTCCTTTATCAGATGCCGTACAACGCTCCAGACGAGGCCCCGATGACCCCCGACAACCACCCCTCCACCGAGCTCGCACCCGCCGTCTTTCCCCTGCTGCCCCTCGCCATCGCCGAGCTCGGCGAGGATGCGCAGACCGCGTTCGTCGAGTTCTTCGCCGCCGAGATCCGCAACCCCAACACCCGCCGCGCGTACCTGCGAGCGGTGTGCCGGTATCTCGACTGGGCGGCCGAGCAGCGGATCGAGCTCCGTCTGATGCGGCCCTTCCACGTCGCGGCGTACATCGAGCAGCTTCAGACCGAGCTGGCGGCCCCCTCGGTGAAGCAGCACCTCTCGGCGATCCGGATGCTGGGCCAGTACCTGGTGATCCACCAGATCCTGCCCACGAACCCCGCCGCCTCGGTGCGAGGCCCAAAGCACGTCGTCAAGACGGGCAAGACCCCCGCTCTTGAGAACGACGACGTGAAGCGGCTGCTCCAATCGATCGACACGACGACGGCCGCCGGTCTTCGGGACCGGGCTCTGATCGGCGTGATGCTCTACACGTTCGGGCGGATCTCGGCGGTGTTGAACCTCGACGTGGGCGACTACTACCAGGTCGGCCGTCGGATGATGGTCAGGTTCATCGAGAAGGGCGGGAAGCACCACGAGCTGCCCGTGCATCACGCAGCGATCGAGTACCTCGACGCCTACATCGACTTCCTGGGCGACGACGGCGGTCCGCTGTTCCGATCGCTCGACCGATCGAGGAAGGGCTTCACGGGCCGCCGGCTCGACCCGCGCGAGGCCCTGGCGATGGTCAAGCGTCGGTGCCGGCGGGCCGGCCTCGGTGGCAGCTTCTGCAACCACTCCTTCCGTGCGACGGGCGTCACGGCGTTCCTGCGGAACCAGGGGGCTCTTGAAATGGCTCAGTATCTCGCGGGACATAGCTCTCCCCGAACCACTGCGCTGTATGACCGACGGAACCACGAGGCCTCGCTCGATGAGATCGAGCGCATTCGATTTGCTTGAAACGAGAAAGCCCCCAACGCCCGCCTTTCGGCGGGCGGGGGCTGCGGGTTACTTGTTGACGATCGTGTTGACGGTCTGGCCTTCGGCGTCGTTGGAGCACGAACCGATCAGGCCGAGCAAGATCAGAATCGCGATGCCCCAACCGAGGATTGCCCCCCAGGGCGACTCCTCTTTTTTGTACGCGCCCCACTGACCTCCCGCGACTTTCTTGTAATTTGCCATCGAGCATCTCCTCACGGCATCAAGAGTGCGTGCCGGCGCACGCTTCTTGTGCCTCGCTGTGTGTCCAACCCGGCTCGCCATGTGCCGGCGGAGCGAGAGTAGCTGACTAGCACACTTTGTGCAAGTTGGGTTCGATAGACGCGCAATTATTGCGCGTTTGTTCGTGGAAGAGACTTCGGTACATAGCCAGTTGTGGTGGTATTAGATGACTTTGAGGTCGTGAGGGAACATCAACGAAGGAGTTCGTAAGCCACGTTTGTTGCCCGATCCGCTCTGGAGTGTGATGTACGCAAACCCCGGCTTAGGTTTGTTGACAGCGAGCCGACCCACAAAATCGCCCGCTACCGGGTGCCTCAAGTGCAGGTTGAACTTGCCACACAGATGATTGACCTCGCTGACGAAGTCCTTGGCGACTTCCACGCTCTCCAACTCCGTGCCGGCCTTCTTCGAGAAGAACTCTTGGAACCGACCGATGCGGTCATCCTGTGAGAGGCCGTTCTCGCAGAGCCAGGCTCTCGGAATCGGGGCGGTGGCTGGGTTCTCGTTGAAGTGATCGAACGCGAGGAGGCTTCGTAGCGCATCGATTTCTGCGGGCCGATCCGGCCCCGGATACGCGTTGCCGAGCTTGATGTACAAAGCTGTACGAAGGGTTGCAATATCCTCTTCAGCAGCAAGCTTCCTCGCACGGGCGCTATTGGGCCGATCATCTACCATCTCATCAGATGGCATGAAACAGGCACTTCTGTCAAGATTTTGTTTTGTATTCCGTCTCTTCCTGGATCTCGTCTTGACCACAGGAGGATCGCAAGACTCTGCGTCCCCGTCCGTCTCAATCACAGTGTCGAGACCTGATTTTTCAGCCATATCTCATCATCTGGCCCGCTGCCGCTTCCGTGGCTCGGGTCATCTGCCGCCGGTTCTCCGTGACGACAAGGGCGAAGTGTACGACGGGGCCATCAACGCATCCACTATCGGAGCTGGGCGACGAAATGCTCCCAAATCCAAGCTCGGAACGCCTTGGTTTCAACAAACGGATCCCCGGCTCGAAAATCTCAACGTTCTGGGCTATTCTCCCGGTCATGCACAAATCCTGCGAAGAGCTCATTCGTTCCATTCTGCCTGGCCTAAACGAGTGGCTTGACGCGCCTTCGGAACCGATCCGGAAGGCCCAGGAATTCAAAGACTCGATCCTTGAGGCCAAACCCAAGAACCACAAATCGATGCTGAAGGAACTCGATCAGACGATCGCGGACTTTCGCATTTCGAGATGCCGTGAGGCTGCCGAGATCCTCTCAAAGGTGCTACGCGAGGTTGAGATCTACATGGAGCCATCGGCCCCCCCGGCACGGCGTGGGCGTAAGCCTGGTTCCACCAGTAGCAAGCCCAAAGCCCGAGCCTAATTAGACTGCCAATCAAACACAACGGCCACCAAACCGATCCGTCAATCTTTCGCGTTCTCGGTCCGCCGATGAGCCGTAGCTGACCCACAATTGCATCAAAGTTGCATCGCGTGCCGCGATCTGCTATCTTCCATAAAAACGGGTAGCCAGATATGTAAATGTATAACATTTACGCGCTCGACAGGACGCTACGCGGCCTTCTGAGCGATCTGGGCAACGGGTCACCGTTGCATCGTGACCGGAGAGGGAGACTTCGCCTCTGCCCTCTCCTGGACCTCACCCATGGACCACCGCTTCCCCGGTGGAACAGGACCGAGGGGAGATTTCGCATCTCCCCTCTGGACACCCCAACGAGCAGCGTCCCGGCGCTGCACACCCGGCCAAGGAGCGTCCTTGGATGCGGGGCCGAAGGAGAAAGGAACCCGGCATGGCGCGCAAGCCTTTGCCACCGAGTCAGAGCCGCAGCCAGGTCGCCGTCGTCCGGCTGACCCTGGCCGAGCACGAGCACATCCGAGGCCAGGCGGACGCCGCCGGGCTCACCGTGAGCGAGTACCTCCGGCGCCGGGCGTGCGGCTACACCGTCCCCCCACCGCCACCGGCTCGGGCGGGCGATGCCGCGCTGCTGCTGGCCGTCAATCGGATCGGCAACAACGTCAATCAGCTCGCCAAAGCCACCCACCTCGACAGGGAGTTCGTGTCCTACTGGAAGTCGGTCGGCGAGGAGCTCCGCGAGGTCCTGCACCGGATCGCGGGGGCCGATGTTCTGTAGGATCCACACCAAATCCGGCCGCTCGTTCGCGGGCCTCTCGGCCTACCTGCTCCACGACAAGGGGCGGACGGATTCGGCGCATCGCGTCGCCTTCACCGAGACACGCAACATCGCGACCGATGACCCGCGCGTCGCCACACGCATCATGGCCGCCACGGCGATGAGCCAGGCCGAGCTGAAACGCGCCGCCCGCGTGCCCAATACCGGCCGCAAGGCCAAGGGCCACGTGATGCACTACACGCTCTCCTGGGACCACGAGGAATCCAAGGACCTGTCGCGCGACGAGATGATGCGGGCGGTCCTCGGATCGCTCAAGGTCCTGGGCAGCGATCGCTCGAAGCAGTACAAAGTTCGGCAGTTTGCCGACGAGCACCAGGCCCTGATCGTCTGCCACAACGACGAGAAGCACGCCCACGTCCACGTCGCGCTCTGCATGGTCCACCCCGAGACCGGCCGCATGCTGCCCACCTCGAACGACCAGCTCAAGCTGAGCCGGTGGGCCCAGAAGTACGAGCAGGAGCGCGGGAACGTGCTCTGCGACGCCCGCGTCGTCCACAACGCGGCGCGGGACCGGGGCGAGTACGTCGTCGCCCCAAAGAACAAGCCCAGGCACATCTACGAGCTCGAGGCGGCTCACCGCGATCACCCGGACCGCGAGCGGATCGCCGCACAAGAGCGCGCCAAAGACATCGCCCTGGCCAAGAAGACCGAGGCCCTGAACCTCCGCAAGGCCAAGGCCAGGCGTGAGCTCGAAGACCGGTACACCTCCTCGCGCCGGTCGATCGCGGATGAAACCAAGCGGCAGAAGCTCACCGCTCGAAAGGCGATCCGGGACAGGTACAGGCGGGACCACTGGGCTCCGCTCCAGCTCGAACAGGACGCCGAGATGCAGGCCTTCAGGCGGGACGAGACCCGACTGACCGGGCGCGTCAAAAACGCGCTCGGGCTCATCGACTACCGGGCGATCTTCGCCTCGGAAAATCGCAGGACGGCTCTCCGAGACGCTTTCGGGGTGCTCGCGTCAGGCGGGCTGAGGCTCCAGAAGCTCTGCGATCGCCAGCAGGCCCAGATCAAAGCCCTCGAAGGCCGGCAGAACGCGGAGGTCCGCAGGGCATGGGTCGAGCTGGCCGCCAGCAAGCGGCAGCAGCTCCGCCAGAAGCACCGGGCCTACACGCTCGAAAGCAAGACGCTCACCCTCGCCGAACGCATGGACGAGGCCGCGCTGCGGGCATCCTGGAAAGAGCGGCGGCTCCAGCGGCTGGCGGCGTGGGAGATCGGTCGCCCGCGTGACGAGTCGGGCCGCGAGGCCTTCCCCACCGCCGACCAGGCCCGGGGCGAGCAGACGACCAAGGCTGATGACCGCACCCGGGATCTGGTCGATGGGTTCAAGAAGCAGATGGAACGACGCAGGCGGACCCGCAAGCGGGACCGAGACCGGGACGACGGGCGCGGTTTGTAGTCATCCGAGACGGGTTAACCTGCGTACAGGGGGATGGGCACGCATGTTTCGCTGGGAACAAGATCTCCAAGACAGCTTTCTGGCTCAGGCTCGGTCTGAGCTCTGGGCTCCGCGCGCGCGCTTCGATACGGAACAGATCCTCGAAGAATGCTCGTGGTCAGACGGCCGAGCCGACGCCGTTTGGGCCGGATTCCAGGGAAGTTTCACATACTGCGAGAACCTGGCCGGCACCCTCGCCGATCACACGGTCAGCCGCATCGTCGCGGAGCTTCGTTTCGCACTTCCGTGCACCGAGAGCCGGCTTATCGCCGCCGCCGGTGTGGGCCTGGGCACATTCCGGTCGGCGCTCTATCGCGCAATGGACGTCGGCCTCATTACTCAGACCCAGAGCGGATCGTTTCTCTTGGGACCGGCTTTCCCAGAGGTGAGCGTCGAGATCTGCGCCTTTGAGTTCAAGCTGCGCGACTGGAAACGAGCCCTGTACCAGGCCGCTCGGTATCGCGCATTCTCGCACCGTGTCTACGTCGTGATGCCCAGCAACGCGACGAAACGCCCATCCGAATTCGTCCATCTCTTCCATACCTTCGGAATAGGACTCATCGAGCACGATCCGGACGGTAGAAGCCGGCGCTTGACACTCGCTCGGAAGCAAAAGCCAAGGTCGAGGCCAAGCTTTGTACGAGCGATCGCGGAATTTGCTGATCCCGATTTAGAGCCCGGCCTTCCCGCGAAAGAGCTGGATCGCTTCTGCCCAGTCGTCTAAGTGACCGTCTCCGGTGCCGCGCGGGCCCCGCTCGAATTCGACACCCAGTTCTTGCAGTTCCGTGTAGATCAACCGTGCACTTTCGATGCGCTCTTCGATTGCCTGGAGATCCGTCTCGACATCTCCACCAAGGCTGGAATCAAGCAGAGACAAGGCTTCCCAGTGCTGCTGGGTCGCAGTCATGGCGTCCCAGTTGGCGGCCGTTGGTGAGGCGGCCGCTGTCAGAACGGCATCGCTACGTGTGCCGGACAGGACACTGTCGAGCTCGTCAACGTCATTGATCAGATCGAGCTCGCCCAGAATGATTGAATTCAGCAGCGGCAACGAGAGATACCTGGGGCGTGGTCGACGACCACCGCCCCGCCGCTCGAGGAACGCCGGGCGATGGTGCCTTCGGCAGCCCTGACTCCATCCCGATGCGGTCGCCATTGCACCGACTGCACGAAGAAGCGTTCCATAAATATCGGTATACCCGCACACAATGTTGATATCGTTCAGCGAACCGAGCACATGGATCGCGTACATCAGATTCGCGAGCCTTGAGGGATCAAATCTCTGAGAGTAGCCGGCTTCTGGACGATCGATAATCAGATAAAGACCGTGTATATCCCATGTGGTGATGAGATCCAGGAACTCGTCGATACCGCGTTGGTGATTAAACACCTGCTCACCAAGGACGAACGAGAGATACAACTCCCGGTCTTCGCCGTCCATGCTCGCATGGTACTCCATCGATTCATTTGCGAGACTGAGCGCGATCTGGTAAGAGCGCTCGTCGACGCCATTTACCTGAATCGTCGGAGAGACGAGCACATCGACATGCATATCCGCCTGGAGGTCGATCGTGGACTTCACATACCCACGAACACGCTGCCCGCTCGTGAAGTCGGCCTCTCGTCGTCCGGCGGTATAGTGCGGCCACCTTTGAAGGAGACGATCTTTGGCGGGGCTGTACATGCTGATGTAGAACTGCGGGTCAATCAACATGAAGGAGTCTGGATAGTCTTCTTTGGTCTTCTCGACAAACGAGGCCAAAGATCCCTGTTGCTCGTCTTTCAGTGAGAGCACAACTCCTTGAATCGAACCGGTCGATAGACCTGTGTCGATCTTCGTGGACTTGCCGAAACCGTGCTGCGCGAACACCGCCATTACGCTCCCCCTGCCTTTCTGAGGCTCTCCGTCAGCATGTCGATCGTCCTGAAGCGCTGGTGAGGCGAGCGACCCATCATCCGAAGAATCGTGGTATCGAGTTCTTTCGACACCTTCCCGTTGTGGGAGCTCGGCTTGGCAGGTTTCCCGTTCCTGATGTTTGCGAGCATTGTTTGCGATCGATCGCCAGGCCCACGGAACGGGTGAATACCCGTGACCATGTGATACATCGTGACCCCGAGCGAGTACATATCCAGCCTGAAGTCGAGCGAGGTCCGCCGCCTCGAATAGTCGAATTGTTCGATCGGCGAATAGGCCATCGTCCCTACGAAGAGCCCCTGGCTGAGCGACTCTCCATGGAGATCAAAGGCAAAGCCCGCGTCGAGCAAGACGAACGACCCGTCACGATCGCGTCGCATGATGTTCTGCGGCTTAATGTCTCGATGTATCTTGTCGAGTGACCACAGAGATCGAATCGCGTCGGAGATCTCCAATCCGAGCCGCACGGTCTCTTCGGGCTCGAATACGCCATCCTTCAGACATGCCGCCAGATCCTTGCCGACAATGTACTCTTCGGCAAAGTAGATCAGACGCTCGTCACCGTGTTGCGTGATCGTGAGATCGATCGGTCCTAGTCGGACCATGTGATCCGAGTCGCACTTGCGCATGATCTCGATCTCACGCTGAAGCCGAGCCTCTGCCTCAACGCCCGGGTCCTCGTCGTCTTCCTCGTTCCTTGGCAACGAACAGAACTTCACCGCGTATGTCGTGCCATTGAGATCGGCCTTAAAGACCTGTTTCTGGCCGCCCTGGCCGACATGCTCGACGTGGGAGGCCTCTGGAATCAGACCCTGCACGTCTTCCACAGAGAGGTTTGGTGGCATGCGAGAATCGTAGCGTCGTTTCAATCGGCATGCGAATGCAGAACCTCAACACAAACGACACAGATCTGTGCAATCAGCCACCGCGCCACGCCTGGGCGCGTGTCGCGCCATGTACGAACGCGACGAGTAAAACAAGCCGGTCCCCGTCATCGACCTGGTAGAATACAAGATAATCGCCGGCGGTGATCTTGCGCGTCTCGACGCCGACGGCCTCGGTCTGGAACTCGTCCACCGGGTAGAGCCTGGGCATCTCGATCAGGTGGTCGATCGCCGCTCGGATCTGGCTGTACCAGCCGTCGACGGTGCTGACGGAGACGCCCTCGCCCAGGAGGTAGCCGATCTGCTCATCGAGTGACAGGGTGTACGAGTCGGCTGCTTCGACGCGGTAGCTCATCGGTCAGCGCGCAGGCCGTGCTTCTCGGCGATGGCGTCCATCGTCGCGTGGGCGTCACCGGTGCGCCCGGCCCTTGCGTCGGCCATACCGCGCAGGATCGCGGCGGTGATGTCCGCCTGGTGGGCCTTCTCAGCCAGCTCGTCGAAGACCTTGGGAGACATGACGACCCCCTTGGCCTCGCCGTTGACGGTCAGGATTTCCACCCCGCCGAGCTCTTCGAGCCGGCGGAGGTGACCGCTCGCGTCGGTGCGGAAGTCGCTGAGCTTGCGGATGCTGTCGGTGCGGATCATGGTGTGCCTCATACTGAATTTATACCAAATTTAGTATCGCACGGTTCGGCTTAGGAGTCAAGGAAATCCGTCATACGGCCCCAGTTGACCCCAAACCGGGCGTTATTGGCCCTCTTCACAACCCCTATCGGAACGGTGTACATTGGCCTATGGACCGTGAAAGTGAGCTCGAAACCTTCAAAGCCGACATCGACCTGCGTGTCGTCGCCGGCGAGCTCGGCTACGAGATCAACGCAAGGAAGACCAGCCGGGGCTGCGCAGTCATGGACCACCCCGGCGGCGACCGCGTCCTGATCGCCCTGGCGACCGACGGGCACCACGTGTACTGCTCGGTCAGCGACCCAGCAGACCACGGCAGCGTGATCGACTTCTGGCAGCGTCGCCGGGGCGGCAGCCTCGGCGAGGTCCGCAAGGCTCTGCGTCCCTTTCTGCATGGCGTGGCCCCCCCACCGCCGACGCGCAGGACGCAGAGCCGGATGCTGCCCGGTCTGGCCCCCCTGGTCCCGATCGAGCGTGACATCCTGGGCGTGCGCCGTGATTACGAGTGCTTCCGCCCGCTCGACTCCGGCCGGCACCGCTTTCTCAACGAGGAGCGTTGCCTCCCGGCCTCCGTGCTCGCCCTGCGCAGCTTCGTCGATCGCGTGCGTGTGGACGATCGCGGCAACGCGGTCTTCCCGCACTTCAACGGCTCTGGACTGTGCGGATATGAGGCCCGGAACCACAACTTTGTGTCTTTCAGCAAGGGCGGCACCAAGGGGCTCTGGTACAGCTCGACCGGGGAGGATGATGCCGCCCTGGTGATCGCCGAGTCGGCGATCGACGCCCTCTCATATGGCGTTATCCGGGGCACACAGCGCACGCGTTTCGTCAGTTTTTCCGGAGGGCTCAACAACGACCAGCCCGCCCTGCTCCGCCAGGCGATGGAACGAATGCCCGAGGGCTCGCGGGTCGTGGCGGCCGTCGACAATGACGAGGCCGGCGACGGGTATCTCGATCGGCTCGGGTCGATCTTCGACGGGCTGGGGCGCGAGGACCTTGCGTACGCGGCGGACAGGCCGCAGGTGCGGGGCACGGACTGGAACGACGAGGTGAGACAAGGGCCAAGAGCCCCGTCTCTCGCTCCGTTATGAGGCACCTCCCCCGCTTCCACGTCTACCTGCTCTGGTCGCCCGACGACGGCACGACCTACACCGGCATGACCGGAGATCTCCGGCGACGCCTCCGCGAGCACAACGCGCCAAAGAACACCGGGTACACGCGGGGACGACGCTGGCGGCTGCTCGCTGTGCGGTGCTTCCTGGACCGGCACTCGGCGCTGCTCGTCGAGCGGCAGCTCAAAAAATCCATGTATGACAAGCGGAATTGGATCCGGCGCACAGGGCGGATTCACGTGCTACTCGACCGCTACAACCCTCAAAATCGCCAGCCGTATTAGTCACGCCATCGAGTTCTATAAGTGAGTTTTCTGCTCGCCGGAGAAATCAGCAAACATCCGGCGCATCCCGACGTACCTGTGAACAGGAGGTACTTGAAATGAAACAGGGAACACGCGCACGAAGTGCAATTACAGGGAAGTTTGTCACCAAGGCCAAAGCTAAGCGGTCCCCTCGCACCACTGTTGTTGAGAAAGTCCGGCCGCAAAAACGCAAGGGCTGTTGATTCGTGGTCTGAGACCAGTCTCATCGACGAGTCTGAGACCAGAGTCCCAGTCAGTCCGAACCCGTGATCTCGCTGATCGCACGCTTGACGCTCTCGGCCAGGGCGATGGGGAAGTTCTTGTGCGTCGTTGAGCCGTACTTGCCGCGACGCCGGACATTCGACAGATCGAGCTGGTCCCTCGCCTCGTACGTGGCCAGGATCATCGCTTCGATGATCTCTGACTTGCGCAGCGTCTTCTCCGGGCCAAATTCTCGCATGCGCTGCCAGATGGCATCCAGCTTGCGCTGGCCGTCGACGCTGACATTCAGCCGTGTACGCGGCACTTCTGCGCTGGCAGGAGCCGCTCTGGCGGCCTTGGGTGCCTTTGTGGTGCCCGAAGGCTCAGAAGCTACCTTCGCCTGTGTAGGGGGCTTCTCGGCCCTCTTTGTGCTGCTTTGTGGCTTTCGGGCCGTCGAGGTGGGTTCCGATACCGACTCTGGCGTGGCTATCTCGCTCTCACGCGCAACAGCCACGCCAGATCCGGCGGGCCGTGCGTCGATCTCGTCGAGGTAGTCCCCCATGCGGATCGGTTTGTCGGCCGGCCTCTCGATATCGAGGGTAAACCCCTCGGGCAGTCCTGCTCTGCGCTTGGCCATCGCTCAGATCACCCCCCCACCGCTGCGCCGGTCTGGGCCACCGGTTTGACCTCGATTTCGGCCGCAGTCACCTTCTGTCCGGCACTCAGCGGCATGGGATTCCCGAGCCGTTCGAGGATCTCGTCGGCCAGCGCCATGTACTGCTCGGACGCGGGCTCTCCAGGTGCGTGCTCGTGGATGGACTTTCCGTAGAGCGTCGCTTCGCGATGGCGGACGCTGTCCGAGATCCCGCAGCGGAAAAGCTCGTCCTCGGTGAAGATCGAGAGCAGGTGCTCGCGGATCTCCATATCCAGGTTGCTGCGTTTGAGCTTGGTCAGCAGCAGCCCGATCATCGCCAGATCTGGCTGGTATCGGTCGCGGATCTGTGTCACGGCCTTCAGCAGCAGCTTCAGCCCCTTGAGGTCGAACCCAGACGGGATCATCGGGATCATGTACCGATCGGCGGCGATCATCGCCGTCGTCATCACGAGCTGGAGCTCGGGACCCGTGTCGATGAGGACGAAATCCCGCTTGTCGCGGAGCGACTCGAGCGAGGTGCGCAGCCGCTTGCGCTGCTCGTCCTTCAGGTTGTCGGCGTCGATCTGGGTGATCTCCTGGGTCGCCAGACGCTCATTGATCTGGGCATCGAAGCGGAACTGGATGGTGGAGATGCCCCGGCTGCCGGGCACGAGATGCATCCGCCCCCCGAAGCGGTCCGGGAAGTGCATCTCGATCTGGTCGGCCGGCTTTTTGGCGAGATACGCGTCCACCACCGTAAACTGGTCGTCCTTGAGGTCCTCGGCTTCGATCCCGAAGGCCTGTGTTGCGTTGGTTTGGGGGTCGCAGTCCACCACCGTGGTCTCGTAGCCCTTGCTGGCCAGGGCCGCCGCGAGACTGACGACCGTGGTCGTTTTCCCGCATCCGCCCTTCTGATTGGCCGTGACGATCGTTGTACCCATGCTTGCGACTCCTTCCACAAGATTTTTATCGGCTGTATTCACTATGAGACTACAGTCCCAGAATGTCAACCCCCTGTCTGGGTCTATAGTCTCATTCCCGTTTTAGATTGGGACTACAGTCCCAGACTCACGTGCCTTTTGTCGCGCCGAACCCCATGCATATTCAGGCTTTGCGCCTCTGGGACTACTGTCCCAGACACACACTACTGTGAGACCACACTAAAACGACTCTGGGACACTGGTCTCACACTCATGCCTATGTCTCGCTCGGATTTCGCTGCAAGTGTCTGTCAGCGCGCGCGTTACGAGCTTGACGCGGTGCTCCGACTCACGAGATATTGACGATGACAGCAACTGTCACCCCACATTTCCGCACCGCCCGGCGCGGAGGGGTTCATCGATCAGCAGAAGGAGGCGTGGACACAGCGTAATCCCCAATCCAAAGAAAAACCGCCCTAAGCCATCAAGGCTGGGCGGTCTTCAATGTCGCAGCGTCCCGGCGGAGCCGTGACGAGCAAACTTGGACTTCGCACCCCCAAGCTAGCTCAGATCGTGCCCCCCGTCAAGGAGCTCCGCTTCGGCACGGGGTATCGCTGTGTCTACGCACGGAAAGGAGCCGTGCATGGAGGCACGATTGTCACGCCCGGAGGGCAGCGGGGGAACGCAACGAGACCGGTCCGCATCGCGACGCGGCGAGCGGACCCACCGCATCGAGGGCAGCTACAGGGCCATCACGACGCACCAGCTCGCTCTGGCGTGGTGGTTGCACGGTTCGGGCCATCTGACCCGAAGGCAGCTCCGCGTCTACTTCGCCCTCCACGAGATGGCGGAGAAGCGTCGCTACGGCCCGGCGGACTGCACGCCGCTCTACACCGTCGATGAGGTGATAAGGCTCGTCGGGGGCTGGGGGGGCGGACCAAAGGCCCGCTCCGAGATCACCGGCGACCTCAATCGACTCCGCTCGCTCGCCCTGGCCGATCTCTCGGCTCACAGCATCGCATTCGCCCGGTCCGCCGACCAGATCAGGATTGACGATCTGAGCGGCTTCTGGACGATGTTTGAGCACATCCCCAACCGCCGTCGCACCGTGCCGGTGCCGAGGCGGATGCTCCGCGCGCTGGCGGCGGGGTTCTCGAAGGCGACTACCGCCCTCGTGATCGCCATGCTCATCCGCGGGCTCTTCTGGCACAAGGAGACCGGCGACTACCGCACCGACGGGCGCTACAAGCTTTCCTGGGTCGCCGAGGTCTTCGGCATCAGCCGCCGCGCCGTCACCGATGCACGCAGCACGCTGATCGACCTGGGCTGGCTCGAGCCCCTCGAAGTCAGCCAGATCATGATGAACCGCTACGGGCTGCACGACCGGATCGTCACCGACTGGAAGCACCCCGACTCGACGGCAGCGGTGGGGGGGCAGGCCGAGACCAGGCCCGTCCCGTCCGCCGGATCTGCCAGCCCAAACGCTGAATTTTCCGCCGGATCTGCCAGCCCATATAGAACAGGTTCTCTCTCCCTAAAGGGAGAACACTTAAACACCAGAAAGCCCGCCCCCACGCGGGCAGGACCGTCTGGTGTTTCGCCAACGGGCTCAACGGGCAGTAGGAAAAGAGAAGGCAGACGATCGCCGAGAGATCCGAATGGCGGACCGCCGAGCATCCGCGACATCAGGGCCTCGGACCTGGCCAGCACCGAGCGGCTCATCGAGCTGCACCGGCAGGCCTGCGCCATCGGGCTCAGCTCGCCCAGCGAGGCCGGGCGGATCGCGTTC